TAGTCTTAAAAAGAGTCTATTTTATCTCAGTAAACCAATGTCCAGAAATAGTACAGAAAAAATCCAGGAGAAAATCAATTTTGGAAGTTTGTGTCCAATTCTCTACATTTTCCATCAACTTGAGTCCCATAATTACAAATAAATAAATAAATAAATAAATAAATAAATAAATAAATAAATAAATAAGGCTGAATACCACAGAAGGCAGACAATCAATAAAAAACCGGTGGTACTTTTAAAAACTCTTTTAAAAACACACATGTCTCTAATGAATTAGTAATATAATTAAGGACTACTTTAAAAATCTGGTTGCTAGAAAATACAATTAAATTATTCTCAAGAAAAAAAAAAGAAATTAGGCACTGAACTTTAAAAAGATAATAAGCCAGTTGTGGCTTTAATTGGTAGCACTATATATCTCAGACAATTCCCAAGCCAACCTCTAAGGAAAACCAGGTTCATCAAGTTAACTGATCAGCAGCAATTTAAAAAGTTCATTGCACCCCAAATTCATATTATAAGTAACATATTAATTATTGGATGAGGGAGGGATTAGAATAGTTTTTAAATAAAAGGTACAATTTTTCATCCTTTAACAATTTAATTTTAAAAGTCCGACTGAAAAGATTAATTATATAAGTATAATTTTAATGGGTGATAAGCCTCAAAACTGAAACTACCGTGTTTCCCCAAAAATAAGACATCCTCCGAAAATAAGACCTAACGCATGGAAAGATAAGACATCCCCTGAAAATAAGATCTAGCACAACTTTGGGAGAAAAAATTAATATAAGACACTGTCTTATTTTCGGTACAGTTTTTCCTTTATGTTTTTTAAGTTGATCAAGTTATTTCTCACAAATTTACATAGTAAGCATAGCTCATCATATACAAATTATATATATAAATGGCTAATATACAAAGTGTCCCCTCAGAAGTTCTACCAGGAGACTGAGAGTTCGATCGCTTGCTATGATGTGTGCTCACCACCAGTGGGCGGCAAGAAACAAAGGAAGGCCCCAGACTGTGGTCAGCAACTGGGGAAGGGAGGCCCTGGCTGGCAGCCGGAAGGCCCTGATAGTCCCTGATTGCTGGCCAGGCCTAGGGACCCTACCCATGTATGAATTTCACACAACGGCCCTCTAGTTATATATAAAAAGAATATTTATTTTTTTCATTTTCTTTTTTTTTTTTTAAATATATATTTTATTGATTTTTGTACAGAGAGGAAGAGAGAGAGATAGAGAGCTAGAAACATCGATGAGAGAGAGTCATCAATCAACTGCCTCTTGCACATTCCCTACTGGGGATATGCCCGCAACCAAGGTACATGCCCTTGACGGGAATCAAACCCGGGTCCCTTCAGTCCCCAAGCCGACGCTCTATCCATTGAGCCAAACCGGTTTCAGCTATTTTTTTCATTTTCTTAACCATAACATCACTTAGATTCTCTTAAGTTCATAAATGACAAATTCCTAAAACGAAGACCAATTTACTTATTGTGATAATGGTCAGGAGATTTAATATGCATTGTAAAAACAGCTTCCAAAATTCACCTCATCCTATAATTACAGAATAACAGACCTCAAATTAATAAAAAATGATGTTTCACTCTTAACAAAGTGAAAGCATTACCTAAAAGTTTCCCTATCACAAAAGTAATAAAAACTGAACTGCACAAGAATTAAAATCTCCATTTAATCTTGAATATTTAAGTCTGATTTAAAGTTCTAATTAAATAAACAACTATATAGCACTTTTCAGAAATTTATACTTCAAGATTCATACTTAACTATGATGAATGCAAAGAATGCTTTCCTACATATGGCATGTAAAATATATTTTAGCATATAAAAAAATCTGACTCCACTTATGTAAAATTTAACATAAGACAAAACTATTAGCAGTGAGGAAAGTGTTTACCTTTAGGAATAAGGAAGGAGCAGTGAGTGGGTGGCAGTGGGAAGGGGGGACATACAATGACGGTGCTGTTAGGATGCTATACTGATCTGGATGGTAGCTCATTTTGTAGTAAGATATCAAGCTTTACTCTTATAATTTGTGTACTCCTCTGTATGTAGATCTCAGTAACAGAAATTCTAATTGAGCTTAATGGTAAGGAATAATACTAGTTAAACATAAAACAAAGAAGTTTAAATAAGTGATACAAATCTAAAAACAAAGTAAAATAAACTAAAACTTTAAAAGAACAAATTGAATATGAAATTTTTACAAAATGAATATGAAATTTTGAAAATAATACAATAACATAGCAAAAGCTATAGGGATTAATTGCATGGCAGAAAAGAATATGAGGCAGAACAAAATTCCTTAACTTAAAAGTAGGAACAGATTTTTATTCTTGACGTTATCATTAAGAAAAATATAGGTTAAAGAAAGTTCTGAAAAAGTGAAAGGTAACCATTAGTCAAATGAAAACATATATATCAGACCTTTCAAAGCTTTCAATTCATACCGTATTTTCCAGCGTATAAGACGACTTTTGAAACGAAAAAAAAAAAAAAAAAAAAAAAATCAACCGAAAATCGGGGGCAAAAGACCAAAATTGCACAAAAATTACCTGCAGATCTTGACAGCAAAGTAAGTCTTTTCTTTGAAGTGAGGGGTAGTCTTATACAGCAAATACAGGCCTAAACCTATGTTTTAACTGTAAAATTAGGAGGTCGTCTTATATGCCGGAAAAGTAGTTTAAAAATACAGCTCATTTAACAAATAGAACACAGAAAGCATGGAAGTATTTCTCATTAATTTATAAATCAATGTGTAATCCCTATAAATATATTTTTTAATTTGGCAGAATTGACAAGCTGATTCTAAATTCATAACAAAGTAGAAATGTGCAAAAACAGCCAGGAAAACTATAAAAAGAACAAACTGTTCCTATCAGATATAAAACCATAAAACTATAGTTGTTTAAATAATACTGACAAATAACCAACAATATAAAAACAGTCCAGAAGCCGATTGAGGGGTATATGGGAATTTACTATTTGATAAAATGTGACAAAACTAACATTCAGGGAGTTTTGTTCAAGACTATTATTCCTTGTACTATCTAACAACTATTCTTTCAGTCTGAATAATGTGAAAATAAAAAGAAAAATAATTAAAGGAAAAAAGTACTACTACAGATACAAGTTATGCAAATGTATAAAACTATCCCATGACTCAACTCTAAAAAGATAAATTCACAGGAAAACTGGGCAATATAACAATTAGTAGAGGAAATAAAAATAATGAATAAACATAATAAGCTGGTCAATCTCACGAATAACCAGTAAAATGCAAATAAATACCATTGGAGATGCCACATCTCATACTTTAGGTAAAAAAACACTGTCATTAAAGTTAGGTAATACGAAATGCTGAGGATGGAGAAACAAGAGCCATAGCAGAAAACTGGTGACTGTTGGGAAAATTGGTAGAGCCACTCCAGAGCTCAAATGGCAGAATCAAAATTTAAAGTATGCATTCCCTACACCCAGCAATCCTACCTCCTAATACTTACCTTAGAGAAACTCACAAATATGCAAGAGAGGCACATGTAAGGGAGTTGATTTTAATAATATTCATAAGGTTTAAAACTACAAAGAACACGATCTCCATCAAAAGGAGAGCTGCTAAATAAAATATAAGTCCATACAGTGAAATAACATGCAGTAATAAAGTACAACTATAATACTGCCATGGAAGGAGCCACAAGACATACTGAGTGATTTGCACAATACATATGCACATAGAGAACACCTTTTATGTGTTCCAAAAGCACCCACAAAACAATAGCACATACAGTTGGTTCTGCTATTGTGCGTGTTTTTAAAACTTATTACGATATAATTGATAATTAGGAAACTTTGAGTGTCTCATTATTGCTTTAAGTACAATTTCATCCTCAACCTAGTCATACAGGAATCCACAAATTGCAGAGTCACATCTCAAACCACCAGCTACCTTAATCCAGCATCATGCGTGTCAACAACTACAACTTTCTGTTCCACTTCAGACAAGCCTACTTTGGCCCATGTCCACAAGTCAACATTAGGGCTTTTTCAAGGTAAATGCCACATTTACTCTAGAATTTACTTATTACTTAACAATTTAATATGTGTTTAAATCTCTGCTACAACTTTAATGAAGTTCTTATATACTTTTTTTATTTACCATCACTGATAAGATTTTTTTTAGGGTGATGCCCCCTTCATTCTATCTTTTGTCAAAAGTTCTATGGTTTTTTTACTCTGTGTTTTTAGCACGGTGATTGTTTTAGGAACACATATTGCACTATAGCAGAACTAACTGCACTATGGGTACATACACAAGTAACTTGTTTCATTAAAATAGTTAACATCATACTTTAGTTCGACAAAATCGTGCAAAGCAACAGAACATATAATACTGTTTTTGCAAGGAAAACTGGACTAAGACTTAGGAGATCTAGTCTTAACTTTGCCGTAAACTTGATATTGCTAGTAAATTTGGCTAAGTGATTTGACCTTGCTGAGTTTCCCACTATTAAAAATGGGATAACAGCCGAAACCAGTTTGGCTCAGTGGATAGAGCATCGGCCTGCGGACTGAAAGGTCCCGGGTTCGATTCCAGTCAAGGGCATGTAACTTGGTTGCGGGCACATCCCCAATAGGAGGTATGCAAGAGGCAGCTAATTGATGTTTTTCTCTCATGGATATTTCTAACTATCTTTCTCTCTTCCTCTCTGTAAAAATCAATAAAATATATTTTAAAAAATAAAATAAAATAAAAAAATAAATAAAAATGGGATAACAATTTTCCATTAACCAAATACAATTCTGCCAAAAAATGAGATAATTGGCTTTCAAAGCACTGTACAAAATCAGCATGGCATTCAAAGAAAGTGTGGTAGCATTACCATTAAGGGAAAACAAAAACCACAAGGGGAAAAATAGCAATAGAGTGCTCATGCTTCATAAATCTAAGTGTGACAATCGAGTAGCATTCCTTACTTCATGGTAGGTGTCCTCAAGCTCCCCGTCGTATATCCAACGGTACAGGAAGCTCAGGACAGGATGAGACACTAAGCTGAGAATGTGTTGCACCAGGGACCTCATGTACGGATCTCCCGTTTTCGTGTAAGCATGGACAGCTGAGGCCAGCTCACCTCCTTTCCTTCCTGAGAGGGAACACATGAAAAACATCCAAATTTAGACTCACAGTAGAAACCAGTAACTTTACACTAACCAAAATGGTCAAGTAATGAAGATGAAGTATGTTTGTTTTCTTGATACCACTTTGGACATAGAAGCAGCAATAAACATGTCATGGATCAGGAGCCAAGAGAGCAAGAGTCTCCCTCTGGCTTTACATGGGTCAGAGCAAGTCACTCTTCTCTCCATGATCCCTACAGAGTTTTTGTAGTAAAAACTTGACTTGTTATATAATTCAGAACATGATTTTTCAACTTTTTTGACTGAGAAACAAATTAAGATTCACACTTTATGTTGCAATCCAGTACACAATATATATAAATACATTTACAAAACAGTACTTATACTTTAATATTTTCTATTTTCTTCCTCTTCTCTTGTGATATAATATGCTAATCTCAACTTCCTAAAAACTACACCACAATGAGATTACAGTCTCCTGTATCCTGGGGGCATAATGGTATAATGAATTGAGAGTGGCAAAAATGAAGTCCAAAAATATAAGCACATGAAGAACTTATGTTAAGAATTCAGGAATTTATTAGACTGCTAAAAGATTTTAAGAGAAGGACTAAGGTAATCTGATTTTAATAAGATGATTCGTGCATGCACAAAACTGGAGGTGAGTGAGACAGTCAGTGAGCAGGTTATTACAATAGCTCAGAGAGAGGACAGAGAGCAGGATTCAAACAGAATCCAGTTTAAGGACACTGATTTTGAGACCTATGAAGAGGCAGTGATTTGAGACCTATTAAGGAGTTAGAGGTATCAGAATTATAGTGGCTAACTGAATATTGAAACAAATAGGGGGTGAGGGGACTGGGAGGACTATAAAGGTGGAGGAGGCAGGGCACAGATGGTATGATGAACTTGGATTTAGACATGCTGAAGTTACAGTCTTTATGAATCATCCAATAGGAGAACAGCATCAAACACTGAGCCAACTATGAGCAGATGACTGGCATCTCACATCTTATGGCCATGGTAGTACAAACAATAAGAAAAAAGGCTCAGAAGGCAATACGAACAATAAGAAAAGAGGTTCAGAAGGCAACTAGAAATACAAACCAAGAGTACAGAAGAAAACTAAGCCAGACATGCAAACATGGAAACTTGTAACATATAGCTAAACATGGACCATAATCTCAGGAGGAATGGAACTCTAGAAAAGCCTTCTGGTTAAGAGTCAACTAAAAGAGGAATATAGATAAACAACTATAACATGGAGACAAAAGAACAGGCACAAAAATAAACCCAGATGGCATTCCCTAAATCCTGCTTTGAAATGAAGCAGGTCGATCAGATGCAAAACAACCTTGGCAATGGTCCACCAGGGCTGCGAGAGTCTTCAGTCTTATCTTGGGATCATATGTCCATACCAGGAGGCGACGGAGTGTCAAGCTACTTTCAAGGCCCAAATTCACACCCTGATCATCCTCTAACTGTAGCTAAAAAACAATAAAGATATAGTATGTCAATACAGGTCAATAAATATGTCAACCATTTCTTAATCCAGGTAAGGTAAATATGGAGAGAGGATTATTGTCATAAAAATGAAGCAAAAGTTCCCTCTGAAAGAACAATTGTTCCTTCAAACTACAAGTGATTTGTTTAAATGGTAGACAGGACCCAATTAACTGCCTCTAAGGAACAGAGGCCTCCAGACCTTACAAACAGTATTAACAAACAGATTTTTAACTCATAAAACTTTAAAGTTCTATGTAGCTGCCATTTTGTAACATTTCAAATAGTGAAGAAATTCAAGTAAAAATAAGGTATTTACCTGGGAGTGTAAAACTGAGAGTAATCGGTAGTATTCTTTGAGTTCTTGGTGCAAGGCAGCACAAAAGCTCTGTGCAGAAAGGGGTAAGTATAATTAAAGCACGACAGTCTTTATACACAACAGAGTCATTATACATCAACTCATTTGAACTGCACAAGCACAGTGCTTCGGGAGAAAGTTCAGGTGTTCTGTATGCCTTATATTCTCATTCTACCAATGGTCTTCTGGCAGGTTTAACTACCACAATATAGAGTGTACTTAAATACTGAATAATGGTAAGGAAGTGTTGTCCCTTAGCATGAACTTCTCAGAAGAGAAATGAAGAAATAAAAAAAACAAAGTATGTTTTTCATCAAGCTAAAAGTATATTCACTTAGACAATGATTCTTTATTTTTAAATTATGCCCCTTCTAAATTTATAGCATTAAAATGTAATTTTTAATGCTCTTAGAAAATGTTTTCATTGCCAATTTTATGCCAATTCTCACCCAGTATTTTTTTATTTGCACTGCTCATTTTTCTCATCCCATATTATTAAAAAATGTTTTTTTATCTCTTCAATCTTAAACGCTTAAAAGATTTCAAATCAGAAGCTGTAAGAAGGACCTTCACATAGCCCTATGAAAAGCACTTTCTGGAATGAACTCTGGGATGTAAATCCAGGGATACTCAATGGGAAGCTTTGGTTTCTGAGATAGCCTAGAACAGAACTTGCAAAGGATAAAACCTGTTTTCTCTAAGTATCATTCTCTACACTTTTTTACTTTTTTTAAGGCAATACATAATCAGTCACCTATTAAGTTTATTTTTACCATTATTTTTTTGTGGATTTTTATCTAATATAAACATTTCCTTCCTTATAAACTATAAAAATTTTATGAAATTTTATATACAAATTTTGCAGACTCAAAGGAAAACCTCAATAGTTAGCTAATATTCACAGATAAAACAATATGGCATCTTTTTAGGCATAACCTCACTTTTTTCAAAAACCCCATCCCAGTGTCTAAGAAAGACATGTCCACAATCACATAAAAGTAAAAAACCAAACTGCTGATTAGTAGAAATAAATCATAATTCATCATATAGAACATAAATATACAGAGGAGTATACAAGTCAGCCTATAAGTACTCTTCCACCAAAATAACAGAATTACAACCTGAGTATTTCAGAACCCTGTGTATTCAACATGAAAGGTTTTTATTTAACTTAAGTTGTTCTCATCTTGGTTTATTATAGAGCAAATATAAAATTTCACTTAGGAAGTAATACCTTCCTTTAAAAATAAAATTTGTTCTATTTAGTATGTCTAAAGCCAGTACACTTCTGAGAGTAAAAGGGGACTAATAATAATTACTCTGGAACAACAGGCACAAATTAGTACTACCCATGCTAACTGCAACAAATGACCACTCCAACAAGAGCACTCAATGATTCTTCTAATAAGCTAATCCCCTACTTCAGTACCTAGATAGTACAGAGCAATGATTTTAAAAAGAAAAAAATGAGAGTGAACTGCAAAGAACTACAGGGTAGAAATTACATGTCATATTCTGATACCATATCTATCTCTACTAGTCAAGACAACATGAACAAATCAATTAAACTTTCTGAAATTCAACTTTTATATCTGCAAAATGGGAACAATTACATTTGCCTTGCTAATTTTAGAGCTGTTATTAGAAGTAAATATGAGAGAAAAGACTTTTAAATCCAGCAATATAAAATACTATATAATATTACTATAGTAATTAGCAATTTTCTTTAAAAAATCTATGTAATAATTTATTTAACCTTCCTGTATTTATTTGGGGTTTGTTTTACTTCATATCTAATAAATTAACTAGGATATATCAGTGGAATTTGCATTCATGAGAGAATGATACAAAGACATGATAAAATGGTCCCTTTTGAAAAGGGTGCAACAACTCACAGAAATCAAAGCATGCAGCTGGGAGGGATGGCCAATGAGCTCAACTGGCTTGCAAATTCCATTTATCATTAAAACCTTCAGGTGGAGTCCCGAAGGCCTTGCTACTTCCTATCTGCGTTACAATGAGAGGGAAGGGTCCCTGCCTCATCTAGCCAATTTTCTACCCTGGTGAATGGTATTAACAGCAAGCAGTGCTAGGCTCAGGAAAACAGCTTTCTAGGCACTGTCTCCTAATGCTAACCACCTTGGAGATTTTCATCACTTTACATATTATTATCACTTCACTCTACATACACAAAAATTAAGGCCAATAGGAGGTAACTTGTGCCAGATGGCATAACTATTAAAAGGTAAAGTCATCGTGATCCCTGAGCAATCTCACTTCAAACCACACTTCTAATCATCAGGCACATTGCTGTGTCGTTCTGTGCTGTATTGCAGTTTATGTTGGCCCTCTGTCTCCCCCTCGGTAATTTTTTGAAGACTTCATTAGAAATAATTACTACTCAAGAATCAATTTGAGGGCAAAATCCTATGCTGTTTAACTATAAAGGGAGTTGGCGGCCTCCTGTCAGGATGTAGAGGACCAGTTAGACACTGCCCCAGTTGTGACCATTCAGGTCAGCAGCAGCAGCAGCTTGTTTCCATCTCTAGCTTCTGGAGCATTCCCAAATCCAGTCTCACTGTGTTGCCTGGGGCACACACAGCAACTGGGAGTGTCTCAGTTCACAGGCCTGTGTGCCAACAGAGCCCTCCTCAGAGAGCTGTGTCTGCTGGGAGCCCTACTTCCGACATACTGATAACCCTAACACCTTCTCTCTGCTCCCATTTTACCTCTGTTTTAACTGTTTATATTCTTTTGCTTTTGTAGTCTTCCAATAGCTAGGTAAACGATGTGCTATATTTGATTATCTTTGTCAATATCTACTGTGCTTTCTATTTTCTTGAATGGATCACGACTGATTACCAAAGCTTCTTTACTTAAAAAGAACCCTCTTAAGAAGCCTATCTAGCCGAAACCGGTTTGGCTCAGTGAATAGAGCGTGAATAGAGTGAATAGGAAGGTCCCAGGTTCGATTCTGGTCAAGGGCATGTACCTTGGTTGCGGGCACATCCCTGGTAGGGGGTGTGCAAGAGGCAGCTGATTGATGATTCTTTCTCATCGATGTTTCTAACTATCCCTCTCTCTTCCTCTCTGTAAAAAAATCAATAAAATATATTTTTTTAAAAAAATCCTGTCTAATAAGAGAGTAATATGCAAATTGACCATCACTCCAACACACAAGATGGCCACCTCCATGTGGTCAAAGATGGCTGCCCCCATGTGAACACAAGATGGCCACTACAAGATGGAGGGCAGTTGTGGGGGATCAGGCCTGCAGGGGAAGGCAGTTAGGGGCAATCAGGCTGGCAGAGGAGGGGTTAGGGGGTGATCAGGCTGGCAGGCAGAAGCAGTTAAGCACAATCAGGAAGGCAGGCAGGCAAGCAGTTGGGAGCCAGCAGTCCTAGATTGTGAGAGGGTGTAGGCTGGCTGAGGGACACATACCCTCATACACGAACTTCATGCACCGGGCCTCTAGTTATTTTCATAAAATTTTAAGTGGATCAAGCATTTCCCAAAGTGAATGGCATCCTAAATGTTCTAGTAATAATGAACATACCTGACCTACAAGTCCAAATGAACGGTCTAGACTCCTCTGGTCCGTGTACTTCCTGATTTTATTGTGTAACCATCCCAGCTCAGCAAGTCTGGATGTCGTATCCCTCAAAGATTTATTCAGGTTTGCCTAAAAAGTAAATATCAAGAGTTAAAAATTAACAATAAAATTTTATTTATTATTTTTCTCAACCATTTGTACTTTTAATGTAATTCTTGGGCTTTGACATATTTAATTTAAAAATAACTAATATACCATCATTAAAGTGAAATCAATGTGATTCTGAAAAACAAAAGCATCAAGTAGAGATGGCATAGAGTAAAACAGGCAGAGAAGTATAACACCTCTGAGTAAATGTTAAGCTCTAGTAGCATCACCCCAAGGAGTGACTGGTCAGGGTCCTCCAGCATGCCAGGGACGGTCTGTGATGTCAGTCACCTTGTGAAATAGCTGAGAGTCAAGAAGAACACACCATCAACAAGAAGGGGCTTGGAAAGGGCAGAATCTAGAATGTGAAAGGAAAGCAAGCCGAGGCACCTTATCTGGAAGCCAATATCCAGCAGCAAAGATGCCAAGCCATATCCTGTCCCTCAGGTACCTCTGACACCACCATCACGGGATACAGAAATCAGCTAAGATTTGGGAACTGCATCAGTGAAAACAAGGAAAGAAAGAAATGCAAGGGAAAAGGGTGCAAAAGGATAGGAAAGGCTGACAAAGGACTTTATAAGAAGACTACACGAGTCACAAACTGCACAAGGAAATATAAACAAGAATTTAATATTGCAACTTGATAGGTACATACAATTTTGGGTTTTGTTGTTTTTTTGTTTGTTTTGTTGTTAATTCTGACTCAACGATATTTTTCCTTTGATTTTTAGGGAAAATGGGAGAGAGAAGGAAAGACAGAGAGAAAGATCAATATGAGAGAAACTTCAATTGGTTGCCTTTGCACGTGCCCCAACAAGGACCTGGAGAGGGAGGAACCTGCAACCAAGGTAGGTGCCCTTGACCAGAATCAAACCCAGGAACTTTTGGTCTAGGGGCCGATGCTCTAACCACTGATCCAAACCGGCTAGAGCGATACATACAGTTCTGTAAGTCCAGCCCTCATTACCCCAATAACACCTCTTAAATTAATAGTTCCTATGTGGTCTTAATAACATTTTCCTTTTTTTTTTTTTAAATATATTTTTTTTATTTTTTACAGAGAGGAAGGGAGAGAGATAGAGAGCTAGAAACGTCGATGAGAGAGAGACATCGACCAGCTGCCTCTTGCACACCCCCTACTGGGGATATGCCCGCAGCCAAGGTACATGCCCCTGACCGGAATCGAACCCGGGACCTTTCAGTCTGCAAACCGATGCTCTACCACTGAGCCAAACCAGTTTTGGCCATTTTCCTTTTTTTAAAATATTTTAGAAGGGGTTTTAGTTACTGTACCTTTCCCTCTGCTTTGTAACAATTCTCAGTGTTATTCATCTTGATGATTTTGCCATCTATGCCCTGGAATACGTATAAAATGTCTCTGACAAGGGCTGCCTCAGTAACATCCGAAGTACCTGTAAAATGGTTTTTATAAGAACACATTTACTGAAGAACACATTTTTAAGATGAAATGAATTTTATGACACAAATAGTTCCAGATTATATATTTACATTCAGGACAAAAATTTAAAACTAAGTAAATAAGCTTAAAATGGAAAAGAGAGCATGAAGTTATTAGAAACAAGAATTTTCTGAAAAAAATATGGAGATCACAAAAACCCTCATACGGAAGTCTTTTAGAAGACAATGCAGTATGTGGAAACTTAATATATAATCAAAGAGCAGCACAAATCAATCACAAAGGGATGAATAATTATTTCATAGATGGTGTTTGGAAAAACTGGCTTACTATACAGCAAGTGTACAAATGTTGGTCCATTCCCAATACAGCAGCAAAGTTATTTATAATTTCCAGAAACCTTGGAACAAAAGTTAAGTCAGAATTTAAGTGTTACCCAAAAGTAATGCCCTGATATCCACTATATCAGTGATAGGAAAAACTTAATCAGAGTACAAAGTCAGAGATCAGCATTCTCAGAACCCAGAAAGCACAGTCAGAACAAGTTTGTATTTCAGTCATGGGGAAAATATTCTATAAACATCAATTGATCAATTTGCTAGCATTATTGCTCAACCCTTACCTATCATTATTGACCATATTTATCTACTTTTTCCATAAATTACTGAGAGAAAAGTTGAATTTTCCAACTGTAATTATGGATTTGTCTGTTTTCCTTGCAATTCTTTCTGTTGTTCTTTGTGCATCTGAAGCTCTGTCAGTAGGTGAACATATATATTTCGGAGCATTATTTCTTCCCAAACAACTGATTCTTTGTTATGAAATGTTGTTCTGTCCTTTCTAACACTCGTGCCTCTATCGACGTTAATAATACTAGTATAGCCACCCATCTTTCTCAGGGTTAGTGATTAAAAGAGGTATTCTTTTCATCCCTTTACTTTCAACCTACTTGTGTCCTTATATTTAAAATGTTTCTTTTTTCTTTTAAATATTTTGAACAAAGTATCTATCCTCATAAATTTAATGTGTGCTTGCCAATAAGCTTGCATTAAATGTACCTTAACTCAAGTGTTTTTTATTTATCCCACTGTCTTCTTCCTTTGTATTTCTCCTGCTCTTTTGGATTAATCAAGTACATTTTTAAGTCCTTTTATTTCTTAACTTTGTATAGAACACAGATTTGTAGGCAACAGTTAGGGATCAGGAGTCATAGCAAACAAAAAGAAAGAAGCAGAAAAGGACACTCTGACTCCATCTAGGCACTAGCTTCTGTACCCAAGAGCACACACCTGTCACGTCACAGGACAGCTAGAGGCTGGTAAGTGCAGCTACATGGGGACAGGCCAAGCTGTGTATGAATGTCCTCACAAGTCTAAAAGGCACAGCTCCCATCCTACACAAGGACAGAAAATAGCTAGAGTAATTTCAAAATCAGTAGATTATGAACCAACAATAAAACCCATTCTTCTATTTTTTAGGATACCAATGTTCTAAATATCGCTATTGATAGTGTTCTCATGTAAGAAATTCAAGCTTTCTTTGGAATCTGACAGAACTTTAAAAATCAATGAGGCATTCAATTAACCCACCAAATAAATATTCAACTATTAATAGTTTCTTCAACATTCTAGGCACTATGCTAGTTACTTGCACAGTGAACAAGACAGAAATGTCCCTCCTTCATGGAACCTAGACTTATGGTGGAAGATGGTCACTTTTACTAGGGGGCTTAATCCAGCCTGGATACACTTTCTCAGGAAGAAAATCAGAATAAAAAGAGAAGGGGACTGTGACAAGAAAGGGAAGAGAGGTCCAGACGGGAGGGGGGAAAAAAAAAAAAAAAAAAAAAAAACCCACTATGACAATGGCCCAAAAAGTGGATGGCAGTGGTGAATACAAGGTAGTGTAACAAACTTACCAAGGCATCACAGACAATATTTATAATTCTGAATTTCATCATGAGAACAAGAAACCACTCAAAAGTTATGATCAGTATTTTAAAACAAGTGAAGCATAAATTCTAAATGTTAAAAAAAAAAAAAACTCCATTAAAATATATCCTTACTCACCACCTGCATCCCAATCTCTCCTTGGCCTTGGGACAGTGCGAGAAACAGTGTTGGGTATACCTTTTGAGGTAGTGGTTTGTAAAGAAGGCTGGTTTCCAGTTAAAGCCCATGCGAGGCGCGACCCCAGCTGCTGTCGAAGACAGTCTCCTACCCCTGTAGCTTGATGAGACTGTCTAAAAAAAGAAAAGAGCATTTTATATCTTCAAATACCACGCTAGTCAGTGAAGAGACAAAAACACGTCCAGAAATTGTTCTTATTTAAATACAGTGAATTATATAATCTTATAAATCTGAGACAGGTGAATGACGTAACCATATCAAATTTAACAATGATCAGTCTAAACTCTCCAAGCTCTTACCGCCACCTCTACACGTATTTCCCACCATAAAAAACAAAATCTATTTGACTTTTCTTTACAAACATATAACATACACTACTCATGTAAAACAACTTTGAAATGCATTACTAATGTTAACATCGGTATTTTAAAAAAACATATTTTTATTGATTTCAGAGAGGAAAGGAGAGGGAGAGAGATAGAAACACAATGATGAGAGAATCAATTATCAGCTACCTCCTACACACCTCACACTGGAGATCCAGCCCACAACCTATAATGTGCCCTGACCAGGAATCAACCATAACCTCCTGGTTCATAGGTTGATATTCAACTACTGAGCCACACAGGCTGGGCTTAACTTCAATATTAACACCATTTCATTCACTCAACATTTATTGAGTACAGGAGTGAAAAAATCTAAACTATGTCTCACTTCCCTGACCTTACTTATCTCCCAGCCTTCATGGTGCTCAAAAGGAAAAGAAAAACTTAATTTATAATTATTTTTTAAATGTACAAATAAAATCTAAGGAAAAAGCACATTCAAGGTCTAAAAGTTAACTTTGAATAATTGGGAGATGATGTCAAAGATGCTCTTTGAAAATTTAAGAATATGACAGCTGATTTCCAATAACATAACGTTTTGAAAACTAACAAATTTATCACCTCCTTAGAGTAAAAATGCAAAAATAAAAATTTCAACAATGCCACTGCTTCTTCCAAGTGGCAGAGCTCTGATTTATTACTGGTAAAATACTGGTGGGTCCATCTATAATCCACTGATGAAGTAAGAGAGGTAATCAAAAACCAGAAACAGCTCTTACATTTTTCAATGGGGATAACTACCAAAACTATGTCTTTGAATACAGTTCTAAATTTAAGAGAAAAATTCTAAAAAACCACTTCAGTTCAAAGTTCTCTACAAAGTCGTTTTTCATATGATGACAATAGTTATTTCAAATTCTAAGGTAAAAATGAGAAAGTGTCTACTCCTTTAGTCAGAATAAAAGTTTGAGATTAAACTTATAGAATGTAAGTCTTTCTAGAACTCTAGACTCTTATTTATAATCCATCTGTATGGTACATTCTATTTTATAATAACTTGAACATAATTTTATTAAGTCAACAATAATTTATAATTGTTATGCTCATGTGGAAAACATCATTTGATGGTGAATCCTTGGTCACTATTCTTCTGGGATTTTATAATAGTCCATTTTAATATGATTTTCAGGAATGAACCATGCATTGAAATGTGTATGTAAAAATAAACAACCAAAGTTCTAATTCCATTAATGCACTGGTATCAGCTGTACTCTCAAACATAAATTCTATATTTCTGCAAAATGTAATTAGATGTGGCAGCAGGTTAATCTACAAAGTATTGTGTGTTCCATAGTTTCTCATCTTAATTCACTTGTACTTTAAGATCCCATAAGTTTTAGTTTGAAGATCTTACATGTGAGGAGACAGCTTTATTTTAATTTACATTTATTCAAAATAATTCAATGAAGAGAATCGCATGCATTAATTAAGGGGTCAACATTCACTGAGAGATAAATATGAGAATGTAGCGAGAAATGTCAATCAGTTACCTCAAAGTGGAAGGCTCTGCACATCATGCTTGTAAAACTAGGTCCTTTACTAATATGCATTTGCATTAACAGCTTGAATTAGCCAAAAATCTATAGTCAACTAAGATTAGAAGTGGAAAGAATTCCCATCTGAAACTGAGTATTTAGGGAGAATAAAATCCAAAGACCAAACATATCAGACACAGTGCCTACAACATTCCTGACACATACTAGTTCAAGCTTCTAAAGGTAGTTTTAAGTGACCACAAAATGCCTGATTAAAAGCCTGAGGACTTTCCTATTTCTACTATTTCAGGAATCAATCATGTAGAATTGATTTACCCTGGAACAGATTGTGGTGTAGGTGTCGGGCCATTTAGGGCATACATGCTGATACTGCTGATGCCACTGCTTCCCATACTGCCAGAGCTCTGTGCTGACTGGGTGCTGCGATCCTGGTAGTTCAATGGGAGAGTCTGAGGCCGGGCATAGTAGTAGGGAGTTGAGTGAGCATCTCTTGGTAATGCTTGGGCAAATAATGTGGCATAGCTAGAAACCTGAAAATAAATTAAAATGTATTAAGTATATGGAGACTTTTCCCAATTCAACACACAGCAATAATGTGTGTTTAGATTTTAGATCTATTTCTGTAACTGAATTTTGCACTTATCAGACAATAAATTAGTTGTTATACGTTTCAAATATAACAAAAAAAAAAACTGATAGTTTTAGAAGTTTTCTGAACAATAAAACTCCCAGGTGATATGAGAACTAAACACTTTATTCAGAATCCATGCAAACTAAAACTCTAATTACTAAGTTTGGCAATCTTATATGATGAAAGAATGCACATTCAGAATAAGACTTTAGATATAAATATGACTCTTTCACCCACACTCTTCAACTTTTAAGCACTCGAATTTCTGTAGTAGAGCATTTTATTATAACAAACATACTGGCAAAAAAAAAAAAAGTAGCCAATTTGCTTTTTCAAACACTGCACAAGTCAAAAAAACAACAAAGTTTTCACTGGTATTACTAATTAACGTTCATAATGATATCTAAAAACACAAAAAAAATTTATAAAAGGTCACCTACCTCAAAAATTATGCAGCTATGCCAATAATAACTTCACACAGTAAAAATTTGAAAACTGCTAGTTTATGCTCTATTTAATTGAACATTGTTATATTTGAATAACAATCTTGAAAAAACATTTTAAGAAAACACAGAACAATTATTAAAATTGTCCTTTTAAAAAAAAAAAAAAAAAAAAAAAGAAGGGGGAATCTCTTAGCATTTCCATGACTGCCCAAAAAACAAGACTGGCTTGTTTTACGCATACTATTTTCTTAAGTATAACAGCCCAATTTCTATAAAAATTTGGCATAACTGCCCCAACAAAAGATGGAAAGTGTCCTTTATAAAGGTATTGAGCTGGTAAAATATAGCTTCTCACCTTGTTTGGCTGCCTGCGTGGATCTTCACTCAGGCTTAGCAAGAGGTAGAGAATTGACCATTTATTTTTCAAAACTCCCTGTTTAGAAAAAAAAACATTAAAAGGACAATGTTGTACTACTTACTCCCAAGTTTTACCCTCATCTCTTCTAAATTATCCTTATTTCCAAAATAGAATTACATTTTAAAATTCACATAGTAACATCAAATCTAAATTTGTTTATTTTCCAAGCACTGCAAATAGCACTATCCATCACAAAGCTAGAGATAATGTCCTCAAGAGGTAGTTTCTTTGGAATCTTTAATCCCCTGAAAACTAACTCCAAAGTCCCTAATAAGAACATGTTTTTTAAATTACCCTATTTCTAAATAACAATATTTTCCCTTTGAAATAATTCTTGTAATAACCAACTTTCCAAATATAGTGATTATAAGAAAAATGACATCATACATAAAATTTGTGTTGCTCCTACCCCTATCAATGTCCCATTTAGGCCACAAAATAGAGGATTATTAAAAATTATTTTAGCCCTGGCTGGTGTGGCTCAGTTGGCTGAAGCATCGTCCTGAACATGGGAAAGATGCAGGCTCAATTCCCAGTCAGAGCATATTCCTAGATTGCAGATCCAATCCCCATTTGTGATGCATATGGGAGGCAACCGATGAATGTTTCTCTCTCACATCAATGCTTTTTTTTCTCTTTCTCCCCCTTCCTCTTTAAAATCAATAAACATATCCTGGGGCAAGGATTTTAAAAATAGTAAATTGAAAAAAATTCTTTTAAAAAATTCAAAAGTGCAAAATATAAGTCTCGGCATCACACATAACCAAACTCAAGATCTTAGTTGTCAGGATTACTAACTACTAGGTTTCTATGTACGGTTTTTCAACAGATTTCGTTAATTTCCCACTACCTATCCCTCTGCCCTGATTCACAACCATTAACAGCAGCCCACCCTCAATACGTTTCATCCAAATTTCATGAGCATTCTACTTTATTCACATAGCCTTACCTTTTGTATGCACAGGCTAGAATATAACAATATATTTATTTACAAAACAAATTAAGGGATGGTTACTTACATTATACAAGTTCTTCATTATATAAAATGTTCTTTGAAAGTTTCTCTAAAGAATAAGCTCATCCTGGGTATTTAAATTATTCCCTAATCTGAAAAATTGATTTACACAGAACTTTGCAGAAAACAATAAAGTATCCAGCTGAGACAGCACAGGAAGAAAGAGGCTCAGTCCAGTGGTAAGTAGACAAATGGGCAAATTATTTCAGTATGATAAATATAATTTCAGACACAGGAGGATCATTTAAGTGCTCTGGGCTCAGGAAAGGAGTCCCAGAGGAAAGGTGAGTCTCTTAGAAAGATGGGTGATGCAGCCCTAGCCAAAATGACTCAGTAGATAGAGCAAATTGGCCTGCGGACTGAAGAGTCCCAGGTTCAATTCTGGTCAAGGGCACATGCGGGCTTGAGCCCAGTAGGGAACATGAAGAAGGGAGCCAATCAACGACTCTCTCTCATCATTGATGTTTCTCTCTCTCTCTCCCTCTCCCTTCCTCTCTTAAATCAACAAAAATATATTTAATAAAAATTTTAAAAAGTGAGTGATGCAAAAGAAGAAGAGGGGGGTAGGCATGGCTTCTTCAAGGAACTGAAAGAAAGAAATTTCGCTGAAGCCAGACATGAGAACAGAAACTGAAAATTAATGAAGGACCAGATCAAAGGGTGCCTTGTAGGCTGTACCAAGAAATTTGGATTTTTAAGGTGAAGACAATAGGCAGCCTTTGAAGGATTCCATGAAAAGGAATGTATCCACTTACTGACAATTCCGCAGAGAATGGACTAGAGGGGAGATAAAGCAAAACACAGAAGCCCTCGTTAGTAAATGGTAGTTATCTGGGGGGGAAATGACCAGAGGCTGAGCTGTGATTCTCTGACTATCTGCTAAAGTTACTGTGACTAATCCCATAAGCTGAGCTGCTGGGGCTAAACAACTCCCTTGGGGAACAAGACCAAGGAGCCAAACCTTGTCTGTTTATCTCCAAAGAGCTACTCTCTATCAATCCCGTATCCTTCTAAGAGTTAGAGGACAGTTAGCCATCAGCAGCTGTCATTTAAAGGAGGCCTGCTGGGACAAGTCCTTACAGACATCATATCCCATAATCATTACAACCACACTGAGACACAGCTTTATTCTCTTCATTCCATAAATAAATGAAGCAGAGGTATAAGTTAAATAACTTAACCACAAAGCTTTAGGCCAGGATTCAAACCCAGATCTGCCTGACTCCAGAGGAACAGATAAGAGACATACTAAGAGAAACAATCAATAAAACTTGGGAACAGATCAAATTTGGGGAAAGAGGTAGTCAAAATAACACCCAGATTTCTAGACTTTGGCAGTCGATGAATGGTATTACCATTCATCAACAGGGAGAACATGGAAAGAGAAGCAGGTTTATTGTGGGTGGATGTGCATGGACTCCTAGAGGTATGAAGTCTTTAAAGTATGATCCTTTCAATTCCCAGGATGCTGAGCTGCAAACTCCTGTATTTCCTAAGGAGTGCCTACATAAAAATGCCCTGTAGGCATCAAGAACACGGCAGACATTCTACCTGTGCAGCAATCATCCTAGGTTAGATCCTCAGCTGTTTCAGAAAAACAAAGATGTGTACAGGGTGGAGAGTGGAGAAAGTACCAAAACAAAACCAAAAACTGTGCACAAAAAATTAGTAAGCAACATAATTAAAGATGGTGTCAACTTTTTTTTTTTTTTTTAACATAGAAGAATAGGTAATTCAATAGTCAGGATCAGTCTGCTGAAAAGCGTTTGATAGAGGGATTGCACACTGAGATGCAACTGCACAGGGACAGGGAAACGAGAGGTGGTAAAGGAGGTAAGAACTATTACAAGCAAAGTAAATATCATCAAAGATGAAAAAGCATAATTAAAAAAAGTGAATCTAGGTAAATCAAGTTGAATTAAGGATCAAAGGGGTCAGCAAAAAAAATAAAAAAATAAAACTTATTTTTACAAATAAATAAAAAGACCTGAAAATCAGTGAGTTAATTACAAGCAGCCTAAGGTTCAATTCAGTGATTTTTATTGCTGTAAAATTTGTTAAGCAAAGTATTAAACTTCTCTGGATTTAACTTTCTTCCCATAAAGAGCAGAGACAGCTAGATGAACTAGGATCACAAAAATCAATTATTCAATTAATTTATTGGTGTATTGGCTGGCAGTCTTTTATAAAAATAGGTTAGAAAAACCACTGTGTGCAAGTATCAACATTCAATCACAAAATGTTCTAAATTAATTTTTAAATTATTCACTGTACCAGTACAAAGTAGAATCTGAAAAACAATGAAGTTTATCAACAAGATAAGCTATACCAATGTGCTTCCTTCTAGTAACAGATTTAAGGTTCTATAAAACATACTTATTGTGTATGTAAGTCTGATTACTTTCCTAATGTAGTTTTTTTCATCTCTGTAAGATATATATCACTAAATCCAGCTAAAACTTACTTCTAATATTAAAAATCTTTTAAAAAGCAAACTCCATCCACAATTAAAATTCATCACTCAATACAGAAAAGTTTAATCATATCATAGAAAAATGTTCAGATGTTTGTAGATCACTCTCCCAACATCACCAGTACTGGAATGGCTTTCAGAATACTTGTGAATACCTGTGAATGAAGTTTTCGGTGAAGTTCTGAAAATAGTGCAGCATCTGCTTCTCTTCTTTGTCGAATAACTGTGAAGTTAGAAAAGAAAGTAAGCATATTAATCACATACAAAAAAAATCATTTTTATGAAACTATTTCACCTTTCGTAAAAGACAACTCGAGTCTGAAAAGAATCCTGAGCTTAAGAATCAAAAAACTAGACAATGAGTGACAATTTCAGCTCTGTGAATTTGGTCAACTCATATAATCTCTCTGACATTTGGAAGATATAGACAACTTTAGGCTGTAATCAAATAATTTATGTAAAAATTAGCTCAAGTAAAGAAATGATGAGATCTTTTAATTTCTATCTACAAATATTAATAAACAGTACAATGTAGTTTTTCTTATCATCAGTTTAACTACAATAGTTAATAATTGCTATCTGGAAGGGAGGGATGTGAAGTGAAAATATCTTTGGAACCCTAAATTCAAAGAGTAGTAACAAAAAAAATATACTGTTCATAATAGTCTGAGTTAAAACTATTCTATTCAAAGCATTTTTGTTAACATATATGGCAAAATAGCCAATTAGTGTTTCAAAATAAAAATCAAAACCGCTTACGAGCTAATTTTCACCCACTAATTCATTCTATTAGTAAGCGTTTCAGATACTTGCCACTAGACTTACAAATTTTCTGAAAGCCCCGATTACAAGTGAGTAGTCCATGCTCTGCTCCATTCCATGAAGAAGACGACACAAAGGATTTGGATCCCTGAGAGAGGAGACCCCACTTGCCCACATCTATAATACTGCATGTACCATCTATGCACAAAGGCCTCTCTTAAGAAACCGTTACACCCACGAGAAAAGGCACCATTTTTTAAAGCTAGCTTAGAGCTTCTCCAAGTAACCTTTGTGCTTATTTATTCCAATTTAGTAGGACAGTTTTCTTAAAATTTCATCAGCTAAACTCACTGGGCTTTGAATGTTCAAATTAATTTTTACAAAGACAATGACTGACTTTACATTCAACACTTTCTCATACGTATTAGCTAGGAAATGGTGCTGGTATCATGTACTGATTATATGAACCACATACCAGAGGTTACATCATCTGCACTTTCAAGTCTTCCTATGCCAAAGGGTAAAACTATCTTTAAAATGTATTCTTACAGAATGCATTTAACAAAACTAATGCAATTAAAATTTAATATACTTTACTGTCTTTTAAAGCTTACATAAAAAATACTCCAAATAAACACTACCATGAAATTAAGTAATATTCTTCCTATAGAATGAGACTGACACTAATGCCTGATATAAAATTAGTCACAGGACAATAAAACTAATACAAATAAAAATGAACACAGAATATTTACCAAAAAAATAAAAGTTTCATCTAATAGATTGCTAAACATAGCAAAACACTTCTTGAGTTAGAATGTACTCCACTCACCAGTGTGAAAAATTAAGAAACTAATAGGTATTAAATTTTATCACACGTGATGAGTTTTGAAATTTGTTTCAATATCAAACATACTAGAGGCCTGGTGCATGCACAAAATTCATGCACTGGGAGTGGGTGGTGACCCTTAGCCCAGCTTGCACCCTCTCACAATCCAGGACCCCTCAGGGGATGCTCACTCCTTACCGCCTGCCTGCTTGCTGCTTCTATCTGCTTAGCTCACTCACCAGCCATGAGCCTGGCTTCAGGCTGAACAGCGCTCCCACTATGGAGCGCAGTGAGCACCAAGGGGCAGCTCTTGTGTTGAGTATCTGCCCTCTGGTGGTCAGTACCCATCATAGCAACCAGTTGTTCTGGTCGCTTAGGCTTTTATTATATAGACTAGAGGCCCAGTGTGTGAAATTTGTGCAGGAGGGGAGGCAGTGTCCCTTAGCCCAGCCTGCACTCTCTCCAATCCAGGACATCCCCTCGCAATCTGGGACCTGTTTCCTAACTGCTTGCCTGCCTGCCTAATTGCCCCTAACCACTCTATCTGCATGCCTGACCACCCCTAACTACCTTAGCTTGCCAGCCTGATCGCCCCCTAACTGTTCCCCTGCCAGCCTGATCCCCACCTAACTGCCCCCCTGCTGACCTGGTCCCCCCCCAAAAAAAACTACTCCCCTGCTGGCCCAGTCGCCCACTAACTGTTCGGAAGGAAGTCAGACACTCTATCCACTGAGCCAAACCGGTCCCGGCAGAAAATTTAACTTCTTTGTATTATTTCAGAGAACAGCACAACTATAACTCAACTAATCTATCAAAAACCAACCAAATTTCAGTCTGTCTGGTGTAGCCCAGTGGTTGAGTATTGACCCATGCACCCACAGTTCACCAGTTTGATTCCCAGTCAAGGCTCCATCCCCAGAGCAAGGGTTGTGCAGGAGGCGGTCAATCGATGTCTCTCTCAACAATGTTTCTATCTCTCTCTTTCCCGTCCTCTCTCTAAAATCAATAAAAACATATTTTTTTAAAAACTAATCCAATTTCAAAAACGTTAAACTATAAAAACTATGTGTAAGAACTATTGAAAAATGATAAATCAATGATGGCCATTACACTAGAGGGTCATCAATATCACTCTATGAACTATAGCTGGGCTACATCAGTGCTGGGGACTCTGGGAAGACAATGGCAGGGGTACCTAACAGAAGCTGTGGACACTTGGTGGGAATGGGCAGAAAGGCAAACTGTGTCAATATACAGCAAGTCTTATTTCAAAAACACAGAAGATACACAATAAAAAGACAGTACATGGTTAGTGTTTTCTTCTTAAAAAAAAAAATTCCAACACTTCCTTGCCATATTCACTGCAACAAGGTAGCTGCCAGTTCTCTAACTCTGGATTTCAAACTTTTTTTAGGTACTACACATATGTGTAGTATGCTCACCAGGAGGCCTGGAATGTAAATTTGTAAAGGGATTGGTTTGTTAATATAGTATCCAATAAATAGATGGAGTTATAACTAATAATCTAAAATACAAAATAACCTACCCTAACCGGTTTGGCTCAGTGGATAGAGCATCGGCCTGTAAACTGAAGGGTCCCAGATTCAATTCCAGTCAAGAATATCTACCTTGGTTGCGGGCACATCCCCAGTAGGGGAAGTGCAGGAAGCAGCTAATTGATGTTTCTCTCTCATTGATGTTTCTCTGTATCCCTTTCCCTTCCTCTCTGTAAAAAAATCAATAAAATATATTTTTAAACAAATAAAATAAATTATAAAATAATTTAATATGTAAAAATAATCTAGAATGTAATAATCATCAGGGTTTAAGAAAAGAATACAGTGTTCTTATATCTCAGCTTTATAATAAGAGAGGAAAAAAAGTTCTTATAAGTTAATAGCAGGATAAACACTGCATTTGTACCCCTCTACCTTAAGACATAACACTAAGTGACTCAATTAGCAGAATCATCATTTCAGACTTGCATTGCTCATCAACCTCTAAACATGGCCAGATCCAATTACTCACATGCCCCAGCCTCACCTCTACCACCTGCTACCTCACCATCCAGCTCAGTTACACAGTTCTAAAAAGGACAGCCACACAGATCACTGGCCAAATACAGTTAATAATGCAACAGCTAAGGTGGGAAACTGTGCCAAAAACAGGTCTCCTAGAAGATGTCAGTACCTGTTTGCCAACAAACTTAGAAATAAGGCCAAAGCCCATTTCATTTGGGCAGTTTAACAGCAAGGCCACAGTAGGAAAACCACTGACTTTCAAAATAGCTGCTTTTCAAGCAACTGGAGCTGGACTCAGATTGCCCAGAAAACTGAGGAATGGGGAACTGGCTACCAGAGAAAAACAACTCTTCAGCCCGGCAAGAGCAATTCTCAATAATGAGTCCCAATGCTCAGTTTCCCTCCTTTAGATACTCCATGGTACAGAGAGAGAGCAGAGCCCCACCTTATAAAGAATGCATTAGTAACCAAGTGCTAATAAATGGAAAGCTTTTTTCTCTAAGGTAACAATGTTAAGAAAGCTTTCAGTAGCACCTCAGAATTAAAATGTTCACATAATAAATCCTAAAGTACTATAAGTTTGAATGTTGACAATTAATAGAAGCAATATCTGACTCACTAAGAGTTGTTTATTGCCAAGATACTGTTCTATGTTATCTGGTCAAAAGGTGCATTACATTAAATACTGCAAATCACAAGATAGCAGAAGTTATATTAAATCCTTTTATCTCCTCACACTCTTAAACCAAATTATGTTGTTATAATAGTATTTAAACAATCCTCTTGCACTATGTTCTAACAAAAGACAGAATTGAGTTGTCTTTATTTTTAGCATACATACATATATATATATACACACACAAACACACACATATATATGTATATATGTGTGTGTATATATATATGTGTGTGTATATATATATGTGTGTGTGTGTGTGTGTGTGTGTGTGTAGAAACATACAGATAAATAGATAATAGTGCCTTAGGAACTACATATGGGGGGAGGACACAAAGTAGATTAACAGTTGTGAGTTTATTTTTGTATTATTTTTTATTAATGTATTATTTTCCATACCAACAACTATAAACCCACTTTTGCCCCCCCCCCCGTGTGTGTGTGTGTGTGTGTGTGTGTGTGTATGTTAAAGTTTGACAAGTTAACATGAAACATTTAGGAAGAATACATACGTTCTTTCTTTATTTTTTCAGCAACTAGAAATTCATCTCTTTCAACAGTTGGGGCAAAGTTGCTGCCAATAACTCGCACAGCATACTGGAACTGTTGAGCTACATCAGCTGAAAGGTAAATAAAAGAATGCAAATTATTGCCAATCACCTTTTTTTTTTTGTCTTGAAGGTTTTTTTAATTTTTAAAAATTTATCTTTGTTGTTGAAAGTATTAGGAAGCAGCTAATTGATGTTTCTCTCTCATTGATGTTTCTTAGCTGTTGCTAAGATGTATCCTTTTTATCCCCCATGGATCCCCTCCACCCCACTCCCTAACCCTCTCCAGGTCTTTACTGCACTACTGTCTGTCCATGGCTATGCATAATGTATATAAATTCTTTGGTTAACCTTCCCACCCCCTTCCCTCAGAAATTCTTTGGTCTGTTGCATGCCAATCGCTTTGATCACCTGAAACTTCCAATTCAAGACAGCGGACTAGGTACATGTACTCACCTTCCACCTTCCCAAGATTTTAAAATGAGAGGGTGGAAAAGCTTTTAAAAATCAAAACAAAATGAATAAACTGAGAGGGCAGGGCGGGGCGAGGATAAAACTCCTGACTCCACTGTGGGGCAGGGCGGAGTTATCCTCTATTAACTGGACCCTAGCCCAATCAGGGTCAGCCAAAAAAGTGACATCACCACCGGAGTTAAACCCCAGGACTTGGCGAAATTTGCTCTCTTCCGCCATGCTGCCTGCGTGAGTGGGACAGAGCCCATGCTAACATGGAAGAGGCTCTTTTGTTTATTGCATTGGACTTGGCTCCCTGGTGGTCCTTGGGGATCACGAAGTCTGGGCGTAACATAAATAAACTAAATAACAGTTCTATAAAATAAGAAAGGGAGACAGCAGAAGGCCAGATAATTTGAAAAAAATTCTAAGAGATAAAAAACAAATTGTACTGAAAATCATTTTTTTAAAAGGAACAGGAAAAGTCACAATATGCACCCCTACCAGGGACTGAACCCAAAACCTAGGTACGTGCCCTAATCCACAAATAGAACCAGAAACCTTTCACATGCATAGGACAATGCTCCAACGGAGTGACACAAGCCAGAGTCAAAGTCTGTTTGTGTTACTTAAGTCTTAAATCAATAAGGACAAAGAAAACAAGGCAGAAACAACACAAAAGAGAAGTCAACAAAATGTGAGAAGCAGGAAAGCAAATGGGTTGATGGGAACTGATTCAGCAGGACAGTGAACTGATTCAGCTCCATACCTGTTGGGGTAAGGGGGATAGGAAAGACAAAGGCCAAGAAACAAAGAAGCCCAGGGAGGCTCCAGAAAGGGAACTCGGTGCCTCAGAAGATGTAGATGAAATAGATAGAGGGAGGACTGGCTAAAAGTCTAGGTAGAAAACTGACTCCTGGATCCTCTACCCCATTCCACACTGCTGACTGCCCTACCCAAGCAAACCAAACAGGGTCTGGATGGAACACCAAGAGAGCAAAGAATAAATATGAAGTACAAGTAGAGGACTGAACATTAAAGATCCAGCTCCCTCCTCAGTCCCACCTCCACACTGGGAGTGAAAATTCCTACACCCAATTCCAGCTTCCCACTAAACCACCCTGCAGTGTGCTGCCAAATCCTACAACAAACAAAAACCAGTAACAAAACTAAAACCCCAGCCCAAAGACTCCACTGTGAAAAGTGTTGTTCCTGGCAGTCAGAAAAATAAGTGATGGGAAAGTGAGCCAGCATATAGACTTCAACAACAATACCCAACTATAAGTTACAGAAAACTCCACCCATCAACAAAGGTCAAGGTCATTCTCTTCATATGCACAAGGGACACTCCTCAAGGCAAACTACATTTGGGGGAGGGTGGTGTCACAAAATAAGCCATATTAAATGTAGAATAACTGAAATTACCCAAAATATGTTCTCTATCAATAATGGAATTAACTTAAAAATCTGTAACAGAATGCTAGCTAAAAAATCCTCAAATATTTGGAAGTCAGTTAACCTACTACTACTTAATACATTGGCCAGAGAAAATCTCAAGGGAAATTGGAAAATATCATGAAGTGAATGAAAATATAACAATTAAAATGTATGGGATACAGCTAAAGCAGTGTTTAGAAGAAACTTTATAATGTACAATGCTTTTATTAAAATGGAAGATGGGTCTCAAATCAGTAATATAAGCTTATATAATAAAGTCTAGAAAAAGAAAAGCAAATTAAATTTAAAGTAAGCATCAGGAAATAATAAAAATAGCAAAAATCAATAACATTTAAAACAAAATATGGGCCAAAACCGGTTTGGCTCAGTGGATAGAGCGTCGGCTTGGGGACTGAAAGGTCCCAGGTTTGATTCCGGTCAAAGGCATGTACCTTGGTTGCGGGCACATCCCCAGTAGGGGGTGTGCAAGAGGCAGCTGATCAATGACTCTCTCTCATTGATGTTTCTAACTCTCTATCCCTCTCTCTTCCTCTCTATGCAAAATCAATAAAATGTATTAAAAAAAAAAAAAACTATGGGAAAAAAATCAGTGAAACAAAAAAAAAAAAAAAAATAGAATTGAGAAACATAAATGGGTAACCAAGAAAAATAAGAAACAAACTTACAAATGAATGAGGAATATTACCACTGATACCACATAAATTTAAAAAATAAAGGCTAAAAAAGTTTTGTTGATACTAGCCCCTCATGGAGATGTACAAAACATTAACACCCCCTCCTTAATTATTGGCTGCACAGTAGCTTCCTTCCCAAGAGTAGAGTATTAAAAGGGGAGAGAGCCGAAACCCGTTTGGCTTAGTGGATAGAGCATCGGTCTGCGAACTGAAAGGTCCCAGGTTCAATTCCAGTCAAGAGCATGTGCATTGGTTGCGGGCACATCCCTGGTGGAGGGTGTGCAGATGGCAGCTGGTTGATGTGTCTCTCTCATCTATGTTTCTGGCTCTCTATCCCTCTCCCTTCCTCTCGGTGAAAAATCAATAAAATATATATATATTTTTAAAGGGGGGTGGGGGGGTTGGGAGTGCCGCACTCTCTGTAGAGTAACCTGACAAACACCACCTCAACCAAGTGATCAAGATCCATGGCTATGAGCCACCTTGATAGTGTGTATTCTGGATACAATACGATCTTCCTCCCAAACACACATAAACCCAGTCTAATCACGAGAAAAACATCAGACAAATCCCAATTGAGACATTATACAAAATACTTAACTTTCAATCTTCAAAACTGTCAAGGTCATAAAAAAATTTTTTTTAATGTCTGAGAAACTGTCAGAGCCACAGGAGCCCAATGAGACATGAAAGCTAAAGGTAATATAACACCCTGGGTGGAACCCTAGGATAGTAAAGGGACATTATGTAATACTGAAGAAATATAAAGTTAATATAAATATATCAATATTATTATAATTACACCATACTAATGTAAGATGCTTATAATGGGGAAAAGGTTGTGGGGTATATAGAGCTTTTTATTATTTTGCAATTTTTCTGTAAATCTGAAATTTTAAAATTAAAAGTTCATTAAAAATACACTGATTCTAAAACCCATTTTTCACAAATCATGATTTTTATTGGTCTGGAATGGAGCCATGGTATCAATATTTTTAAAGCTCCGATTTAAAAACCTGTAGTCTAAAAGGTAAAATCTATAAAATGTTAAAAAACAAAAATGTTTTCTTTGGTAAACTCAAAAAAAGAACCTCATCCTATAATACACACATCCTATCTAATAAAAGAGTAATATGCAAATTAACCATCACTCCACTACACCCACCAGCCATGCCCACTTGGAAACAGTTTGGCAGTTTCTTTCAAAGTAAAACATACACAGACTATAGGACCTGACACTTGTAGGTATTTAGAAATAAAAACTTATGGTGACATACAAATCTGTACATATGTTTATAGCAGTATTATTCACAACTGCCAAAAGCTGGAAGCAACCCAAATGTCCTTCAATGATTGAATGAATAAATAAACTCTAATACATTCATACAATGTTTTTACCTCTCTATCCCTCTCCCTTCCTCTCTGTAAAAAAATCAATAATTTTTTTTAAATAAAAATAAGTGTTTCTTATATACCATTATATTGGCTGGGCTGAAAAAATATGTGAGTTTGATATCCTTGGCCTACATAATCTGGCCCCTTGCTACTTCACCAATATCATCTCCTGCCTCTCCCAGCCATGCCACACTTTGTGGTCTTGTCATTTCTTGAGCACACCACATTCACTTCCAGCTCAGAACCTTGACACACCCTTCTAAATCTTCCCAGGATTTATTCCATGGCTTTATTTGGTTCTCTACTTAAATGTTACCTTCTCAAAATGCCTTCCTAGCTCCAGCAGACACAATCACACATAAGAAGGCACAGATACACACAGAATCTTTCTTAAACACCACTGTATCAACAGACTGTGTCTAATATGTACTTGGTGAATGCATACATGTGGGGGAGCAAAAAAAAATAATCTAAAATGCTTTTGTGGAGTCACAGGATTAGGAGTAGTTTTTATTTTCTTTCTTATACTTTCCACACTAAGTATATGCTTCTACACTGAGTATACATTAATTTTATAAATATTAAAAGTGTCATTGAAAATGGCTCATTTAAAAGGGCTGCTAGTATAATTATTGTAGCTAAAAACATTTTAAATTACCATGACCCTGAATTGTACAAAAAAGTATAGTTCATTAACAACATACTCAAGTATCCTATTCTATATAATTAAAGCCTAATATGCTAGTGTCCAATCATCTGGTCAGCTGTTCAGCCAATCAAAGCATAATATGCTAACGATATGCTAGGGCCATTCAACCGCTCACTATAACATGCACTGACCACCTGGGGGAGACAGTGGACCAGTTGACCAATCACTATGATGTACACTGGCCACCAGGGGGCAGACGCTCCAACCGGTAGGTTAGCTTGCTGCTGGGGTCCGGCCCATTGGGACTGAGCAAGACAGGCCAGACATGCCCTGGACTCCTTCCTTTGTCCTTCCCCAGCTGGCCATCTCCTACATCCCTCCCCAGCCCCCCTCATGCACTGGTGGGGTCCCTCGGCCTGGCCTGTGCCTTCTAGCAATCCGGAACCCCTCGGGGGATGTCAGAGAGCTGGTTTCAGCCTGATCCCACAGGTAAGACCATGGGACCCCAGTGGTACACGAATTTGTGCACGAATTCATGCATAGGGCCTCTAGTATAAAATTTTTTAAAATCTTCATTCCCAAAGTTTCATAAACCTATTAATTTTCTTTTACCAAAAATTCAAAACTCAAGAACAGAAATTCTCTCCTTTCCCTCAGTCTCTACATTTCCTCTACACCTTTGGTATGCATATTATTCCATGTCTACCTCTTCAGCCACATTTCAATTTCCCTACCTACCTGCCAACCAAATTTCCAGTCTCTCTTTCCTACTGATTATAAAATATATGAAAAATCCACTTGCTATTTCTTAAATCAAATTTACCTATCCTATGTTTCAAAAGTAGACACACAAAATCCAGACTATTAAAAAAATTAACAGAGGCAATTGTTCTTTGTTTAGTGAACCTACCATCAGAGATTAAAATGTGAAATATCAAACAATGTCCACTACAAATTTCTAGTTTAATACTACCAAAATATCATTCAGCTTTTAAGAATAACTAAGCTCAATATATAATTCAATGAGTAATTTCTAAGCACCTACTATATGCCAAACACCACAGGCCCCAAGAATAGAAGAGAAATAGTGGTCAACAAGGCAGCCTTAATGAGAACACCAAAAAGAGGGGGTAGGGGAGGAGAGGAGGCAAAAAATACAGAAGGACATTAGATTGTGATAAGAGCTACTAAGGAAATAAGCAGGACACCATGGTGGCAAATTACAGGGAAGACTTCATGAAATAGGTTGGTTGGGGAGGCCTCTCTAAGGAAGTGAATTTTAAGAGACTTAGAGGCTGTCTTGTGAAAAGCAAAAGAAACCGGTGAAAAGGACACAATATTCACAGAGCTACTTGATGCATTGTTCCTCAAAGAAGGCCAATGCCATTGGATTCTGAAACCCAAACCATAAAAGCCAAAGTCTTTTCAACAAGAGTTCCAAATGAGGAGTTCTTTGATGATCTGGCTTAATCCAAACTAAAAATTAAAGTATTAAATGTTTTGACCACAAAGTAGCAAATGAATGTATTATAGTTTTACCTCCAATCTGCTCTTGGAATGTGTGAGGGGTGGGTGATTATTAGGAGCCTGGAAAGGAAAGCAGGTAATACTCCTGCCAAGCCTCTGAAAATATTTCTTTAAGAACTGGCCCAGTGACCGGGTGCGGCCAGGCCTGGAGCAGCGGCTGCCAGGCTGGGAGCGGCCAGGCCCGGAGCAGCAGCAGCCAAGTCCAGAGCAACTAGGTCGGGAGCGGCAGTGACCAGACCCGGAGCAGCTGGTTGTGGAACGAACCAGAGCAACAGAGGCCAGGCCCTGAGCAGCCAGGCCCAGAACAGCTCGCTCCTCGCCTGCCCCTGTCCCACGGCTGCTTCTCAGACATGGCTGGAAACTTTCGTGGGAACTTGAGGGTCTGCTGAATCAAGTGATGAAGGCTTAGATCTGGATGTGTTGAGTTAGTATAGGGCTGGGGTGTTGATCTGTGAGTGCCTTGGGTGGGGCCTGGATGAGGCTGGTTGACCTAGTGGGAAATGTCTTTTGTGTGAAGTGTATCATTGGGCATGTGGAGGTATTATTGATTTGAGAAAATGCTAAGTAACTGATTTACTATCTGAAAAGGGATTTACTATTGGGGAAAGGGAGGGAAGAAGAGACTGAACATAAACTGCACCTATGGATGAGGACAATGGGGGATGGGGAGGGGTCAGAAGGTGGGGTGGGAACCTGGTGGAGGGGGGAAGAAATGAGGAACCTTTGTAATAATATGAACAATAAAGATTGATTTAAAAAAAAAAAAAAAAAAAAAGAACTGGACCAGTGAATTCAAGGATACACTGTGTAACAAATACCAGAGAGACCATTTATGTTGAAATACTTAATAATTCCTTTATTTCTCCTTTTTTCTCGCAGCTAGAATGAGAATTACGAAGTATGAAAAGGAATATTGCCTCTGACAGAGTTGAAACACTGTACCATCAAGCAAATTGTTTCCAAAGATATAATGAATAAAATGTGCTCTGGGGAAGGGGCAGGGATGTGGAGAGAGAATTTTCCTGTCACTGGTTGGCAAAAATGTGTTTCAAACAAAGTGACAGCTGTTATAAGCTGGAAAAGGTAGGAAATAATGGCTATACAACTTTATAAAAATATCAGGTACTATTTAAGGTAGGTGCTTTGTTTCTGAATCTCTTGAAACCAACTACAAAAAAAAAAGTTTTAATTATCTATAAAAAAATTTGACTCATAAAATTCACATTAAAAGTAACAAGTGTCTATTATGCACCAATTTCATAGTATTAAAAAAGCAATATATTACAAAAGCATAAGACAAATTGTAACGTCATTAAAAAATGAAGAAATTTTTTAAAATGAAGAAATTAATCAAATATTCTATTTAGTTACCAGAAAAAATACACACTAATGAAAATAAAAAAATTAACATCATAATTATAAAGTCAGCAATTAATATTGCTCCTTTGCTAAGGTAGAACAAATTAAAGTAGGACAAGGCAAGTTATTAAATACTTGTAAATTCTTTATTAATAGCAGTATTTGGAATTATAAATATAATGATTGACAACCCTAGCTGTCCAGAGCATCATCTTGAATGGATTTTTTTTTAAATATATTTTATTGATTTCTTTACAGAGAGGAAGAGAGAGGGACAGAGAGAAAGATCGATGAGAGAGAAACATCGACCAGCTGCTTTCTGCACACCCCCTACTGGGGATGTGCCCGCAACCAATGTACATGCCCTTGACCGGAATCGAACCCGGGACCCCTCAGTCCCCAGGCTGACGCTCTATCCACTGAGCCAAACCGGTTTCAGCTGAATGGATTTTATATTTTATTCAGAGAGGATCCCTTCAGAATATCCTAGGAAGCCTATCTATTCTTAAGACACAATTCTAAATGGAGATGCAGCGCTCTGCTAAAGATAAGTGTTTCAACCTCCTTGAAGAGAAGAAACTAAATCAACCAAAAGAAGTCCCAAATTTAACTTCTTTTAAAATTCAGAAACATCATGCTACCTCATGAGTGCCTCCTAAGTCCAGCTGTGACATCGGGAATGTGTGGTTTATCTTTGGAGAACAATTTAAGATCCACTGGTGTAATGCAAACACTAGTGTTAAAGTAAGTGAGTCATAACCATCAATCTTAGCTCTTCGGTTCTTCCATGATTAGACAGGTAACTCAGAGGACACAGAGAAGACCACACCACACATTCACACCCATGGCCATTGCACCCTCAACCCAGAACCCTCCCCAGATGTTCACAGGGCCCACCCTCACTGCATGCAGATCTGTATTTAAATATCTCCTCAGAGGCTTTCCCTCAACATCCCTTTGCTCTAGTTTTATCACAGCCCTTATCACTGCTTAACATTATACATTTGCCTACTTTATCAGGTCTCCACTTGCGTGCAAGTTGAAAAGACTTGTCTGTGTAGCTCTGCCTCACCAGCACATGGCAGTGTCCCTGGGGGTGGGGATGCCCAAAGATTTCTTGACAGAGTGAAACTTCACATAAAGTAGCAAGATATATGTGAAGTCAGTGCCATTTAATAGGCTGACCAAAAAAAAAAGTCATCTTTACCCATAACATTATCACAGAACATCAAATAAAGTATGTTCACTGTCATAAATCATGAACATATGTTCACTGTCATAAATCATGAAACAAGTGTCTATTATGCCCCAATTTCATAGTATTAAAAAAGCAACATATTACAAATTATAATGTCATTGAAAAATAAAGAATTAATCAAAGGTCAAAATACTGCCCCACTATTTTAAACGTCATTTTGCTTAAAATCGTCTCGCAAACACTGCACTATTTCCTTTTCCATGTTATGGTGCTTAAGGAATAAGTAACCCAGTTGCTACGATCACCCAGAAAATTCCTTCATAGTGCATGCCCACTCCCTCCCTCCCGCCCCCCCCCCCAAAAAAAATTATCATGAAACGACATTTTCTTTTTTCTTTTTTTCTTTTTTCTCCTTTTTTTACAGTACCACCACCGCAGAATGGCTTTACACATTGAACAGAACTGGGTTTGGGTAGCAGTATTCGTTCGCTGCAGGAACTCTCCAGAAACAGCTTTATATTAACTGCAACCCTCAGCCCTTTATAGGAAAACATGGCAGGTAAAAGTCGTAAGCACCCATTGGGCATCACACTCCCATCTGCTACACTTGCCTAAGGGAAGGGGAACCTGCCGTGGCCGCCACCCAATGTACATGCCCTTGACCGGAATCGAACCCGGGACCACCTGACATCCCCGCCGCGGTCACAGACGCGTGGCCGGACCAGCGCGCCGCGCTCCCCCCAAATAACCGCGGGAGCGCCCGGCCCCGGCCCGGGACTTGGGAGACGGAGGACGCGGTTCGCGAGCTGACGTCTTCCCAGGCTTCACCCTCGGAATCAGAGCGCGGGGGAAGCGGTGACTCAGCCCACGCCAGGCCCTGCCCCCTCCGCTCTGCCCCGGGGGACCCCGGACCCCGGCTCTCCGCTCCGTCTGCCGGGAGGCAGCAGCACCCACCGGCCGGCCGCGCCCCTCGCGGCCCCGCTACCGCCGGCCTGCGGAGCCCGGGGCCGCCCTGCCATGGCCCCGCCAGCCCCTCGGATGCCGCCGAACTGCACTCGCAGGGAGCGGCCTCCAGGACCCGCCTCGGACCCCGAGCCGCCCGGTCCCAACCCCGCTACCTTCGCTCTTGCCCAGAATCCGGCAGCACAGGTTCTGCAGCAAGACGTTCGGCGACTTCTGGTCGGGGGTCGCCATCCTCGCCGGAGACCGCCCACGGGGGCCCCGCGGAGCCGCCGGCCCGAGCCCGCCAGCCTCGAGGCCGGCGCGCCCAGGAGGCCCCGCCGTGCCCCGCAGCCTGTGCCCGCCACGTGCCCGCAGGCCAGGTGTCCCCCAAAAACCTAAGGCCCCGCGGGAACCGCCGGCGACAAGGGCGCCATTTTAACGGAACCCGCCGAAACTGCGGACGCTTCCCACAATGCCCCACTTCTTCCGGGCGCGCGGCGCCTCTGGTGCTTTGGCCTAAAGGTTCCTCCGACCACCGCCGTCTGGCCCGCAAAGTTCCGGCACCAACCGCCCCAGCTGCTCCCTACACATGTTTCTCAGGCCCCAAAAGTGCGGTCACTGACTTGCTGTGAAACTGGTTGGTGCCCAGAAGAGCTTTTATAATGCATAATTTTTTAACAAGTTATTTCTTTTTTTATATATATATTTTATTTTATTTTTTAACACAGAGGAAAGGGAAAGGATAGATAGCCAGAAACATCTACACTATGAGAGAGAATCATCGACCAGCTGCCTCCTGCACACCCCCCACCGGGGATGTGCCCGCAACCAATGTACATGCCCTTGACTGGAATCGAACCTGGGACCTTTCAGTCCACAGACTGACGCTCTATCCACTGAGCCAAACCGGTTTCGTCAATAATGCATAATTAAAAAAAAAAAAAAAGTAATTGTTTGGAGTCACACTTTTGGTGTAAGATTAGAAGTCTGTTTAAAGATATATAAGATCTTATAATTTTAATATTTGTTGGGCGCTGAGATTATCCTGCTTCATTATCCAGCTTTTCACGGAGCAGTGTGTGGTTTCTCACCATCTCCTACCCCCTTTCCTCACTCTCTTAATCCCAGGTACCTATAGTCATTAGAGGTAGTCAGATGAAGAGAAGAAAAAGGCCCAATGAAAAGGATAAACATGCAATTGCAAGTCATTTTAAAGACAAACATGAGTACGGAAAAACCCACTCATGTGAGGTACTGAGAACTGCCCAATTAAGGAACAAATGATGCAATACACACATCAACTGATCAAGGTGTGGGATCCTGGAAGCTACTGTAGATTATCCCACCTTGGACCAACCTAAATTTCTTTCCAGGGATTTGGGGATTAAGATAAAAATAATAATAATAATAATAATAATAATAAAATAATAAAATTTAAAAAAATAAAAACATCTCTCTAGATAACCTAAACTATACCAGAAAAAAAAAAAAAATCACCTTTCAACAACTAAGTGAGCTGAGTGGGGAAAAAAATGTCTACTTCTCACTTTCCAGGGTGAGAGGAGAATGCCTAATCTTACAAACAGGACTACCCCTCATGAGGCATCCTGCTGGAACTCAGTGATGTCAGATGGCACTTTAAAGGGGGCCTTTTAAGACGTAGTGGGAGAGTTAGTTCCAAGCCTCAGCCTTCAGAAGACATGGGAGTTTATCAGTACCCAACTCAGTTATTATAAAAATGTCCTGATTGATTGACTAAAACTAAAATGAAATTTATGTACTCAAATTTCAGGGGGCAGCAGGAGAGGGAGGGTTCCTCAGCCTGGCCTGCAACCTCTCGCAGTGTGGGAGCCCTCAGGGGATGTCTGACTGATGGCTTAGGCCTGCTCTCTGCTGCTGCTGCTGCTGTGCTTGTCAGCTGTGAGCCTGGCTTTGGCTGAGCAGCACTCTCCCTATGGGAGCACACTGAGCACCAGGGGAAAGCTCCTGCATTAAGTACCTGCCCCCTGGTGGTCAGTGCATGGCATAGCAACTGGTTGTTCTGCCATCTGATCAATTTGCATATTATCTTACCCAATAAAAGAGTAATATGCAAATTAAACATCACTCTGCTCTACAAGCCACACCCACAAGCCAATCAGAGCAAGTATGCAAATAAATTCAACCAAGATGGCTACAGCCACAGAGAGCAGGATGGAGGCATTTTTCCGGCAACGGGGGAAGCCCAGCTTTCCGCCTGCCCTTGCTGGCCTAAGCCCCCACTCAAGGCTACAAAGTTTCAATTATAGAAGGTAAATAAACCCAAACAGAAATAGCTGCCACCACAGAGCAAGCAGGAGGCTTGGCTCTGCTCCAAGCTACAAAGTTTCAATTGTAGAAATAGGGAGAGCCGAAACCAGTTTGGCTCAGTGGAAAGAGCGTCAGCCTGCGGACTCAAGGATCTCAGGTTCAATTCTGCTCAAGGGCATGTACCTTGGTTGTGGGCACATCCCCAATAGGGTGTGTACAAGAGGCAGCTGATCAATGATTCTCTCTCATTGATGTTTCTATCTATCCTCCTCTCTTCATCTCTGTAAAAAATCAATAAAATATATTTAGAAGGAAAAAAAAGAAAAGAAAGTAGGGAGAGATCAACCAAAGGTCTTGTGTACATACATATGAGCCTAATTAGTGGTCAAGGAAAATAAGGGGATGGGGTTATAAGTGGAAGCGGGGGTTGGGGGGAGAGAGAGAGAGAGAGATTGGAATTGGGGGTTGAGGACAAATATGTGATACCTTAGTCAATAAAGACATTTAAAAAAAATTTTTTAAGTAAATATATCCCAGATACCAGAGCTTCTGCTTGGGTCGCTGGGGGGCATGGCCAGCCTATAAACTACCACAGGCCCCTTGCTCAGGCTGCCCCATGCTCCAAGGAAACCCCCACCCTGATCTGGGACACCCTTCAGAGCAAACCAGCTGGCCCCCACCCATGCACCAGGCCTCTATCCTATCTAATAAAAGAGTAATATGCAGATTGACCATCACTCCAACACACAAAAGCTTCCCCTATATGGTCAAAGATCCTGCCCCCATGTGGACACAAGATGGTCACCACAAGATCGCCAGCAGGGAAGGGCAGTTGGGAGGGACCAGGCCTGCAAGGGAGGGCAGGTGTGGATGACCAGGCAAGTAGGGGAGGGCAGTTGGGAGACACCAGGCCTGCAAGGGAGGGCAGTTGAGAGGACCAGGCCTGCAAGGGAGGGCAGTTGAAGGTAATCAACTCTGCAAAAAAGGGCAGTTAGGGGTGACCAGGCCGGCAAAGGAGGGAAGTTGGGGGCAAATGGGCTGGCAGGGGAGCAGTTAGACATCAATCAGGCTGGCATGAGAGTGGTTAGGGGGTGATCAGGCTGGCAGGCAGAAGCAGTTAAAGGCAATCAGGAAGGCAGGCAGGTGAGCAGTTGGGAGCCAGCAGTCCTGGATTGTGAGAGGGATATCCGACTGCCCATTTAGGCCTGACTCCAGTGGGATCGGGCCTAAACAGGCAGTCAAACATCCCTCTAGTGGTCCCAGATTGGAGAGGGTGCAGGCTGGGCTGAGGGACAACCCCCTTACCCCCACGCACAAATTTCGTGCACCAGGCCTCTAGCGCTTTTATAATATAAGATGTTCCGATTGATTGACTAAAACTAGTGGACATACTTTCAAATTACAAATATTATATACATTAAAATTAACTTTTCTTTTTCAAGATCATAATGATTTATTGCTCTGACAATATCAACAGAAAGAAACTTCAGTTAGGCTTTGGAAAGTCATATATTTCAGAAAAATGTAATTTAGATGAATAAATTACTTTGAAGTCAAGAAGTCTTTTGAACCACTGTCCTTTCTGTTATCTTGTTTTGAGTATGTAGTGTTTCTTCTTTTTTAAAATTGAAATTGATTTTCAAAGGTTAATTTTGGACAAGGCTTTCCTCTAAATATCACTGGTGTTTCTACTTATCTCTTTACATTAACAAAGGAAAGCCACTACCCCCCTCTTTTCTATAATTGTTTTTGCCTGTATCGTTTTTGTTACTTAGAATTATATACTTAGAATGTTTGAAACATATTACGCTTTTTAGTATGGTGTCCAACTGAAACATTGACTCTTTATTTATTTTTAATATATATTTTTATTGATTTCAGAGAGGAAGGAGAGGGAGAGGGAGATAGAAACATCAATGATAAGAGAGAATCATTGATTGGCTGCCTCCTGCACACCATCTACTGAGGATTGAGCCCACAACCTGGGCACATGCCCTTGACCAGAATCAAATCTGGGACCCTTCAGTCAGCAGGCCAATGCTCTATCCACGGAGCCAAACCAGCTAGAGCAACGTTGCCTCTTTGATTCTAAAAGTATTTTAATTCAGCTGAAACCAGATTGGCTCAGTGGTAGAGCATCAGTCTACAGACTGAAAGGTCCCGGGTTCAATTCTGGTCAAGGGCATGTACCTTGGTTGCGGGCACATCCCCGGTGGGGGTTGTGCAAGAGGCAGCTGGTTGATGTTTCTCTCTCATCGACGTTTCTAGCTCTCTATCCTTCTCCCTCTCTGTAAAAAAAAAAAAAAAAAAAAAAATCAATAAAATATATATTTTTAAAAAGTATTTTAATTCATTTTAAAACATTATATAAAAAAATAATACAAATGGCTTTTCATAATGGTAATGAAATATTTTTGGGTACAGAATTTTATGGCTAATATTTTAATTCTTCTCTTATCTTGTCACTTCTCATATTTCCCTCACTTTTTAGTGCACTCACTGTGAACTTCATCTTCACAGTTCACTCATAAATTGGTTGAATGTTCGTATGCTGTTGTCTGGGGCTGGCGTAGGGAGAGATGAATTCTCTGTCTAAAAAGAACTGTGGTGAGAAGGAAATGAGCTGAGAGCAAATGGCGAAGGCTGTTGCGTGCTTTGAGCATGTAGGGCTCTGAGGTTGGCATGGGCCAGGTTCTAACTTGTATGGAAGATTAAACCTACCTCAAGATTAAGGACAGGACAACACATTTAAAGTCACACTGAGGTTACAGTTGGGCAGACCCTCCTGATTAGCTCCTCTGTCCCCTCCACCCTCACCTCATCATCCCCAGGCAAATGCAGTGGGCTTAGGGGGTCTTCTCCTTTCAGAGCCTATAAAACTGTTAAAACACTCACTGGACCGGACTTGCCCGTAACATTGTTGGATTTCCATTGAATAATCTGCCACATAAGCCTTCTAGAAT